TTGTTTGTAACACCCTAGGTCTTTTTTGCTAACACCACTTGATCTCTAACCTTTTGCTGTTTCTTATCCCCCACTCGTTTCTTGTCCATCAAGTAGCGCACCCAAAACTCTACTGCCTCTAATTTTCCCCTCATTATTTAACTTCAAGGCTGTTCATACTGAAGAATGCTTTGAAACACCTAATCTCACCTGTCCCCTATCCTGCTCCTGTTTGAGCTCAATTCCTAACACAGCATCTTGCTAAATCACAAGAAATGCAGTGTCCGAGATGTTGGAAGAATCATCATTGATGGTACAGGCAGACAATATCATTTTACAAAGATAGCAACGTTCACACAAGTTGTAATTAATAAAACTTCTACCACCACTTCTCTCATACAGCAGCTTAAAAATGAATGCATCCTTCATTTTATCCATTCTGTTCTTAGGGTAGCACTTAACTGAAAATTACTTGAAATAAAATTGTTAGAGTGAAGTACTTCAGTCAGTTATGTGGTCATTCGCTCCTACCATGACTCAACTCTTAAGTGTAGTCTCTAAGTTATCTAAGTAGATCATTAACAGGGAAACTCCACTAATGCTGTAGCATAAAAATAAATGAAGGTCAAGTAAAAGTTGGATTCAGAGTAGTTAAAGAGCAAAACAAGTTAATTTCACCGGAAATCCGTCCATTTCATTCCCTGTTTAGTCAAAGTAAGCTTCCCTTCACCAGCCAGCCCACCCCCGCTGTGAGATCTTACTCTCCCCAACCCCCTCAAAACTTTAAAACGATTTTCCCAAGTGTTTTTGTAGCCTCCTCCTGGAGTTGGGCTCCATTTCCCCACGCCGCAGAAAGTTAATGGAAGAGACGGGAAAGAACTCCGGGGCGGGGGCAGGAGAGTTGGACAAAATCAATGGAGTTGGATTAATTACTCAGGAAACCAGCGAGAGTGTAGGCTCAGGGTGTGAATAATTCAGAGATTAAAGCTGCGGGGAGGAGGTATCGCTGAATACCTGGGGGGGGGGGGAGAAAACTCAGCGATCACCTCCTCACCCCACGACACACACACATACACCATCCCCCCCCGCCCCGAGAAGGGACTGGGCCAGCAGCTCCGGCTGTTGCTGTGGCTGGAAATTTCCCCAACTACACAGCCAGGCAGCTCCAGGCACCTCGCCTCCTCGCTTCCCTTTCTCCACACACACACTGAGCCCGGAGATCTTACCCATGGCTGCGGGCTCCTCTTCTCTCGGATCTTCCGTCCTCTGACGCCTTATCCACAGGCAGCGGCTTCCATGGGGGGGTGGGGGGAGAGTGGTGCTGGAGATCCTAACTACAAACCTGTTGCTGCTCGGGTACAGGAGTGAGATCACAGAGAAAGCGACCCGCCCGTACCAGCTGGACTACAACTCTAACCTGGGTGGGGGGGCCCAGGGCAGGGCGGAGCCTATGCGAAAAAGGGGTGGGGCTTGGTACAGATCCCGCCCCCTCCTGGGCTCTCTCTCTCTCACCCATCCTTGCGGTCACTGCTGCCACTGAGCATTCCCAGTACCTGGGCGCCCGGGCATTGGCTTCTCGCTGGGTATTGCAATGAGGAAAAGGCTGTGGAGCCTCTCGAGTTCTGCTGCTACCGCCGGGGGCCGCCTTTGGATCTACTTTGGTATTTTTGTTCTGGCAGCAAGGCGGTGAAACCGAGGGATCGACGTTTCAACGCGAGCCATGGATCAATTTCGAGCTAAGACGGGAATTGGCATTTCAGCCGAACTATTGGCCCTAATGATGGCACAGCACTCGTCGTAGTAATGAGATATATTGGTTTCAATGCTTTGCATTTGTTTTTTGGAAAAAGGACCTTTTTTGTTTGCTTGAAAAGTGTGCATTTTTTTTGCAAAACTTTTTATGTTGGCAAACAACCCCAAATTATTTGCATAATTGCGCTGAGCCGCAGCGCTTGGGAACACTTTAGTGACGGGAAGGATATAATTGAGATGCAAATTATGCCATCATGTGGTTTTGTTTGCAAATACAGGAGAAAGATTTGCTAGACTTTTTTTAAAAACGTCACTATTAAAAAAAATCATTTACTTCAATCATTTAGCCACGTACAATGAGAATAAAATGCAACTTATGAAATCCGAGATGTTATACTTTAAAAAAGTAAAGAACATAATTCACTTATCAGAATTTGTAGTTGTCTAATTGAAAGAGTTTTTACTAAAAGCGAAATTCACAGAGATTAGTCTTTCAAGATGCAATGATAACTAATTAGGATTGTTTTATTTAGACTTAAGCATTTGTTACATTTCTTACATTTATGAGGCGTTCTTGAGGTAATGAAAGATCCAACGGTGCTTCACAAGAATGTCTTAAAGACTCACTGAGCCTGAAAATAAATTAGGAGTCAGCCAATGTTTGACCAATGTACGAGGTTTTGAGGAGCTCCTGAAAGTGAAAAGGGAAGAGCTTTAGGAACAACAGTGAGGTTTTCGCGGGGGTGGGGGGGCGCCTTTACAACTAATATTATGAATGAGAAAATAAGTCATTATCGGTGATTTTCGCTTACGATTACAAAGACAGCAGATCTGTGCAGTCCAGCCCTCTGGTCAAGCGAAGAAGTTGGTGCATCAGGTGCGTCAAAGGCTGCAGACAGATGAAAAAGAGGTGAAGGCACAGCACCCACAACAAATACATTAAAAAGTAGGAGCGAGATGTCGCATTACAATTAGTATGTCCTGGCATCTGTCAAGGTTGTGCTGTAGAATGAATTTCCCCCAGTCTATTATACCTTGCGTCATCGCAAATGCGTTCTGCAACTTGTTTAAAAAGGCACGGTTTGAGTTCACATGCAAGTACACTGTGGCATCATATTGATGAATGTAACACCTGGAATTTGCTGAAGGTGAAATGTTAGTCCTTTACAAATGTTGAATGATGCACTACTCCTAAAGTTCACTTTATCCAAACGTTCATCTTCTGATGACGACCTTATCCGAGTTTGGGAACTCTGCACGGTTCCCAGGTGATTGTTGCTGGAACCGGTGTTCTGGTAAATCACATAACTTGGGTGGTAGGAAGTGCTTTAGACTAAATAGTGGAGATAAGGGATCAAATAAAGCAAGATGTGATAAAGTGAAAAGACAAGGCAAAGAAGCAATAAGAGTAAATTATAATCAGAATATAGTAGGGATGGACAAAATGTACACATTAATGAGTGCACCAGCAGTTCAAAGAATCCTTGTGGGGGGTGGGGGAAGCAGGCCATTCAGCCCAGCAAGTTCACACAGACCCTCTGAACAGTGTCCCACCCAGATCCATCCTATCCCTGCATATCCCATGGCTAATCAACCTGGTCTGCACATCCCTGGACATTATGGGCAATTTAGAGTGGCCCAACCACCCAACTTGCACATCTTTATACTGTAGGAGAAAACCCACACAGACACAGGGAGAATGTGCAAATTCCAAACAATCACCCAAGGGTGGAACTGAATCCAGGTCCCTGGCACTGAGAGGCAGCAGTGCTAACCACTGAGCCACCATGCTCCCTTTATGTAGTGTTTGAGTTTGTGAAAAAATTAAATGACAAATTGATATCTGAATGCAATTAGTATTGATAAAAAATGAATGGATTAACAGTTGAAATGGAAACCAATATGTGTGATCTGATTGCAGAGACATAGCTGCAACGTAGGGTAAAGCATGTAACCAATGCTTCCCCTGTCTTTTTCTCCATGCTCATTACCCAGGTTCTGTGAGCAGTGTATTTAAATTGAAGCAAACATTGCCTAGCAGAAGATGACTGAGTGTGCACCAGGTTTCCCACATTGGTTGTGACCTGAATATTTAAAGGTACATGATATTTTGGAAGGAATAAAAAATGCAGAAAAGGTGGAGGCCTAGATTGTTAGTTAGGTATGACATAGTACAATGGAAATGATGGACTTACTTCTACAAATCAAAATCTACAATCCATTTGTTTAGAGGTAAAAAATAGTAAATGTAGAAAGCTACTGATGGGAGTAGTTTAATAGACCCCCTAACAGTATCCACACAATAGAGTATTGTGAGAATGATACAGTGGGAATCATGATTTTAGCATACATGTGAATAGGATGAATCAGATTGCAAAAGACATCCTGAATGCTGTGTTTGTGAAGTGTTTACAAGACTGTTTCTAAGAGTAGCATGTATCCAAACCAACCAGAAAGCTATTCTAGATCTTAGAGTGCGCGGTGAGACATCAATGACCTCACAGTAAAGATTCCCTAAGGTAACAGTGATCATAACATGATTGAATTTTGCTTTGAGGGGAAGAAGTGAGAACTGACAAGTTAGTAAACTTAAATAACGGTAGTTATGATTAAATAAAATTATTCACATGAAATTCTGTTGGAAACTTTGCTCACGTGGCCCTTTGTTAAAAATTTCGTTCAGAATACTACACAATTACAAATCCCTAAGTAATTCTTGCATTAGTGCCAATATTTGGCAGCTCAGGTGCCTTTAACTATCTTTTTGATTTTCTTCATTTCCCAGGTTAATGGACAACTTTCATTATTCATTTCCACCAAGAATTTCTTTTTGGATTTAGTTAAGGGAATATGAGTATTGCTCGCTAGGTCAATAGTTATTTCTCATTCCTAGCTACATAACAACAGTAATAGGGAGCTGTCTTCTTGAAATGGTACAGGTGGAGGAGCACCCAAAGTGCTGGTAGGAAGGGAGTTAAAGAAATTTAATCCAATAACAGTGAAGGAATGGTGATGCAGGTGCAAGACAGGATGGTGTGTGACTCAGAAGAATTTGCAGGTGGTGACATTTCCATGTATCAGCTTCCCTTGTCCTTGTAAATGGTAGAGATTGCAGATTTGCAAGATGTTGTTGAAGGTGCCTTGGTGAAATGCTGCAGTGCATCTTGTAGCTGGTACATGGTGCTGCCACTGTGTGTCAGTGGTGAAAGAACTGAATGTTGAAAGTGATAGATGCCAATCCAGTGGCTGTTACATCCCTGATAATGTCAAAGGATTTGAATGTTGTCGGAGCTGCACACATCCAGGTAAATATGGAGTTTACCATCGTACTCCTGTCTTGATGATGGTTTCTTCCAATATTTTTGCCAAGAAAACATCTGCTTTGACCAACTGTAATCATAACCTCTCATAATATGGTAACATAAACTATATTCAGTTCCAAAGCTATGAGCCAACCAGTGTTTTGCTGCAATTCTAGCAAAATGCTCATTTTTGAACGCCTTGCTAATAAAGAAAATATCTTATATGTCTTCTTAACCATTTATCTCCTATTCATCAATCTTCAGGGATTTGTGGACATATGCTGTTTATCTAGATTTATTGTGTATTCCCTTGCATTCTTTGCCCTCCTTACATATGTAATAAATGCATTAAAGGCTGAAAAGTTGAAAAACTGAAGTTGATTTGGTAATTTGATATTGATGGTACTAGAAAGTAAACAAAGGAAAAACTAATCATAGAATCCCAACACTGTGAAAGCAGGCCATTTAGCACATTGAGTCTACACAAACCCTCTAAAAAGCATCCCACCCAGACCAACTCACCTATCCTATCCCTGCAACCCTGCATTTCCCCAAGACTAATCCACCTAGCCTGCATATCCCTGGAAACTATGGGCAATTTAGTATGGCCAATCCATCTAACCTGCACATCTTTGGACTGTGGAAGGAAACCAGAGCCCCCAGAGGAAACCCATGCAGACATGGGGAGAACTTGCAAACTGCATACAGACAGTTGCCTAAGGGTGGAATCAAACCCAGTTCTCTGGTGCTGTGAGGCAGCAGTGCTAACCATTGAGACATCAGTTTTTATCCTGATATTTATAATTAACTTGTTCAGACATGCTATGACACACCTCCAATGCAGAAGGAGCTTGAACCTGGACCTCCTGACTCAGAGGTAGGGACACTACCACAATGCCAGAAGATCCCTAATGTTTTTGTCCACTGCAATTCTAATAATTCCACCCAATTGAAGGAGCTTTATACATCTGCATTCACAACAGATCATAAAAAACACTAGAATTATGATTATTTATGGCAGAAAACCTGAGCTTTCTGTCTCCAGCTGCTAATTTTCAGACCTTTTATGCTTTAGCAACTTTCATACTTGAACCTACCCATGATTACTGTTCTTGTAATCACCATCTCTCTTTCCAAAAAATCAAATAGTTCCCACTTTCCTCCCACCCACACAGAGCAGGGCATCTCTAAAATGCCTTGGTTCCAGTCATCGCTGTAGCTTTACACTTGATTTGATAAGAAAGCCTTCCAGGGCACTGTAGAATGAACAATCACTGTAGCTTCCCCTAACAAGGGTCATTCTCATAAAAATTTGACTTGCAGCCACTGCCAGCAGCATGCCATAGTTAATAAGCTCCATGTACATTCTTTAACA